TTCGATTTCTTCTTCTACAGGCAGTTGTTTAACTTGATAGTCAATAGAAAAAATATGTTAAATACTATTCGATAAAAATAAAATAGAATTATGTAATACTAGCGGCTCACCCTCGCTTCGCTCGGGTTCGCCTCTAGAAAAACACTAATAGAGATGTATTAGTTCCCACGGGAACCGTTCATTTTTCTGGGATGAAAAGTAGCTTGTTGTTTGACCGGCAATATAAGGTATCAGAATGTTAAATTTTACTAAGTTAGGTGCATAAGTTGTATAAGTTATTATAGTTTTTAACTATCCCAAATCTATAAAAAGTATCTAAGGTGTTGCCCGGGATATAAGGTACCACCATGCAAAATGTCATTTAAATCGGTCCGATAGTTTCGGAGATTAGCCCGTACAAACAGACAAACAGACAGAGAAAAAAATTGAAAAAAAAACTGTATTTGTTCTATTTGTCTTCTTACATCCCCCTGACTCGGTTTTTAGCATTTTTTTGCTATGTACAGACATTCGACCTCTACTGTTTTATTATAGTATAAATAAGTAATAAGTATTATATGAAGCCAAAACAATATAACTACTATGATGCTAAAACAGTAGAAAATAGTGCCGATAATTCTATTATTATTGTTATGATATTCGTAAATAATAGGGTCGATGTTACAAAATAATACTAGACACAACATTTTATTCAAGGACTTACAATTATAAACCTATTAGCTCTATAATTATAGAATGTAACTTTATATTAATTATTATTGTGTACTTTCAATGATTAAACTTATTTTTAATGTAAAAGGTCGAAAAATACATGTACCAAAGGTAACCGTAACAAAACCGAAACGAAACCGTAACGAAATAGGTTGCATTAGGTTAAATAACCGTTATTATTCTCTGAAAAATGATATCTATACATATAATAAAATTGTAACTAAGCCGAATCTGTACATTAAATATTTTTTGGAAAATCTTATTGAAATAATTGTTATTATCTATACAGAGGCCGAATCTATAGTTTTCAGAATTTTTGTCAGTCTGACTGTCTGTCTGTATGTTACCGCATCACAGAAAAACCACTGGAGGGTTTTTGATGAAATTTGGTATTGTGATAGCTGGTTATCCGGGTCAACATATAGGATACTTTTTACCGCGGGAAAATGTCTCATTTCTGAGAAAAAATACAAAAACTGCAATGTAAAAGTATACTAATATGTTAAACCTAAGAATTTGGTTTTTGGTCATCTGAACGCGGGCGGAGCCGCGGGCAATGCTAGTATATAATATTCCATTTCATTGCTTTATTCAAAGAGTACTATTTTTACTTATTTGTTTTCAAATATGGAAAATATTTATAAAAACAAAACGCTGAATGAAAGCGACTCGCTGAAATAGACGTTTTACGTTAAATTAACAGCGGTGTGCCCCGACAGAGCCCCACTCGATTTTTTTGCTAACGCAATCGTGATATTCGTGTGCGTACTGTAATACTAGATTTTGAATCTGTGCTTAACTGCCATGCTTTGAAGCCACTAACAAGAAAATTGAATTTAAATAAACAAACAACCTACAAATCATTAAAATCTGTTTAATCGTTTTGTCATTACATGGGAACATAGTATCGGACATACATACATACGGGTCAATCATATAACCCTCTTTTGGGCTTCGCCGCAGTCGGACAAAAATAATTATATCACTCCATTTTTATATACCTATCAACTATACTTGTAAGAAGTTATATTAATTAAAAAAAAATTAACATGACATATTATGTATGTAGGGTACTGACACGTACTAATGTTTTAATTCTTTAATTGGAGCCAACGACGATCAGAGCGATGAGGACTCTTGTACAAAGTCTAAAAGAAAATTGCGATATTTTATTGTAATTGAATAGAAAAATTTTCACGCTTATTTTAAAACCTCATAATATAATATTACATTTCATAATATCTGATTTATCTAGTAACTAAATGGTTTAGTTGTTTTTTTTAATATTGTTTTTTTTTCTATCCAGCACAATACTTATTTCTAAGATCTCTCGATCATCGATCATCGATCACCGAGAGATCTTCGATCATTATGTTTTATTTACATATGTTTCATTAATATATGTATTACTAGCGGCTCACCTTTGCCTCGCTCGGGCTAGCCTCTAGAAAATCAAAAACAAATCTTTCCTTCGGGAACTGTATATTTTTCCGGGATAAAAAAAGTAGCCTATGTGTTATTCCAGACTATAATCTATCTCTGTACCAAGTTTCATCCAGATCCGTTCAGCCGTTCTGGCGTGAAAGAGTGACAAACATCCATACATCCTACTCACAAACTTTCATATTTATACAGATTATTCGATATCAACGAGACCACATACACGAAGCAAGACTCGTAGTTAGTATAACACGTGTATGTCTCCGACTGAATTATACTATGTTCCTTCATCAACTTGTTCTCATCTTTTTACTTAGCTTTTTACACATTCGGTTTTTTCTTATTTTTGTAGATAATTTTTTAATTAAAAATATGTTTGTATCAATAGGGCTACTAATTGGACTCTGGAGTTGTTTAACGATATCATTACTCTAATACCAGATCTGGACGTATTATTTAATAACAAAAACAATGAGTTTAGGGAAAACTTCATTTCTCATTTCAATAATTTGTTTTTTCGTTTCATATTGAACATGTGACGTATTGGAATTATCTATAATATTACCTGAATATGTATAAATAAATAAAAAAAATACACTAAAACAATATGCGTTCATGCATTTGGTGTCGTGCATATGATTATACAAGCATTGCCCGCGGCTCCGCCCACGTTCAGATGACCAAAAACCAAATTCTTAGGTTTTACATATTAGTATATTGTTACATTGCAGTTCTTGTATTTTTTCTCAGAAATGAGACATTTTCCTGCGGTAAAAAGTATCCTATATGTTGACACGGATAACCAGCTATCACCCTACCAAATTTCATCAAAATCCCTCCAGTGGTTTTTCTGTGATGCGGTAACAGACATACACACAAAAATTCTAAAAAATATAGATTTGGCCTCTGTATCGATAATAATGTCTATTTCAATTAGATTTTCCAAAAAAATATTTAATGTACAGATTCGACTTAGTTACAATTTTATTATATGTATAGAAGAATTGTTTATAATAAAACGGCTTTGATTATGTATGTATATTTATAATGATTTGCAGGTATATCATACATTCATTACAAGACTGTACGTAGACATTGGCAGAAAAATTACATAATTATGTATTCAATATATAATTTAACAAACAATCGTACATACATAAAACAACATTGGGCTGAAGTTCTAAAAACGTAACTACTGCTAATAATTTTCTTATTACTTATAGCTTACAAATGTTGGTTCACAAATTTAACAATATTATATTTAACAATTATATAATCACTTATATTATAGCTTTGTAATATACATTTAATAATACCTATAGGTATGCGAATCTGGATAAGTACTAAATATCATTATAGATACAAATTTTACAAAATTACTATAACTGACTAAACAATTCCAGAATAAGCTATATTTTCGTTATAAATTTACGTATATACAAATATTTTTATGTTCTGGATTGTAAGAATATTTATAGTATTATTTTCTATGGTGAATTTCCATCGTATGTTTATTGCAATTTAATGCCAAGGTATTCTCAAAATGAATAATCATAATAAATTAAGATAAAATTTTAGATTTTAAAGGACATTGTTTAAATAGTATAAAATTTTGGTATTTTGACAAAGTAACGAATAAATATATTGATTATAGCGCTATTAATGTAACCCAGTAATATTACAGTTTCAAGTTAAAAAAAACTATTCTTTATATAATTTTATATACTTATTAATAAAGCTATAAATAAATGCAAAGTTATAAATTATAATATAATATTGGAAGTAAAAAAGGTTAAGGTAAGATTAAGTTACAAGTCCAAACCCCCCTCCCCCCCAACTTTGTCGTGGTGGAGGGACTCAGTAGTGCCTGGCAAACCAGCCAGCCGCGACGCCAAGAAACGCACAGGGAGGTGGCCCACCTCGGTGGGCGGTGTGCCATGCGGGTTGCTCCTGGTACTCTCATAGTAGAGTGGACCGTGGGGCAACCCCATGGTTGTTGTGGTTTGCTTCGGCAGACCTGTCGTTGGGGCGTCGTGATTGAATGCGTAAGCGATCCTGCGACGCCCCATTAAGACGGGAGAGGTTCCGTTGGGTTTTAGTGGGTAGTACTGGCTTTGCCGGTGGGTCGCACACATCGTGCCTAAATGCATTTCCCAACTTTAAAAAAAAGTTTAAGTTACAAGTAGTAAGTTAAGTGATTAACTCATTTGTTTCACATTAAATATGAAAACGTATCTAAGTTGTTTTTTTAAATTGTCCTAAAATACTGAATGTTACTGGGTTAATGGGCTATCTATTACTTTATATTGACATTATCACAATTATCTAAGCATTTACAATGATATCATAGCTAGCTGTTCTCTATACAATACACATATCCACTTTTACTTTGGTCACGACATTTAGTTCATATTATATGTAGTAGTAACGTCAATTGTTTTAGAGGATAATTTTTTTGGTAAACTGCGATTAACGATAAATATATCTATATAAATAAATGTAGTAATATATTTCACTTAAAGTCACTAATTAATATGAAAATAACAGAATTTTGTAAGGGAAATTGTAAACGATTACAAAATAACAAAACAAAACAAATATTTTATCCACCAGCAAATACTCGTTGATATATTTTAAATAACATTGGTTTAGCAGTAAGTAAAGAGAACAAAAATAGTAGAGATTTATCTGAAGTGAATAACAATTTTCCAGGCAATTTCATCCTCAACAATACTATGTAGAAAGTAGCGGTAACGAGAAAATCATGTTTAAAACTTGGAAGAACAATAGATACGTGATATACCGAGTTCTTTCGCATAACTTGAGTATAGCTTTAAGGAGAAAGTTTAGCACATGGCGTATACTAAGGCCCATATTAAAATTGCGTAGGGTATAGTCCGAGCGGCGGCGGCGGGAATCGGGCTGCCTCCTCCCAGGAACCCAGCGTCATGCAGCCTTCCGCCCTCTCGCAAGGAACCTTGGAGACTAGATCGGACGTCATTGCTTTCTTCTAACTCCGCGTCACGATCTTCGTCCATTCGATTTTTACGATGCGGTAACTCCATTTCTGTTGTAATTAAACAAAAAATGCGTCTAAAATATCTTACAAGTATATTTTTACATACACTAATGAAATATTCATTTTTAATAAGTTTGCAATTTAAGCGTGTCAGGTTTGTTAATTTGAAACGTAATGTGCTCAATTTGTTAGTTTATATGACGTCATTTGTAGATACATAAAACTGATATATAAGTTACTACATTTTAACGGCAAGTATGGAATAGATAGTAGGTATATATATTATATATAGGTTTGATGAGTAATTGTGGGTTGTATTATAATTCCAACTAACTCCACACAAAAAATCAAGCTGATCCGTCACTCTGCTTCGACGTGAAAGAAGGAAAAAGAAACAAACAAAGAATAAACATATTATATATTATTAGTATGGATATTCTGTAGAAATTAATCAAAATCATATTTTTGTTGTAATTTTAAATGTTTGGTAGAATAATAATTAATTAGTATTATGTGCTTTTCATAAACCACTCACCGTACAATCTAATATTGCCCTCAGCATCTCCTATAGAGTTTTTGGAGATGCATTTATATCCACCCAGATCACTTTCCTGTATGTTGCTCACCACGAGTCGCATTTGGACGCTATACGCAGAACTATTGATTTCACTCATTTGGTACTTGTCATTTGTTATAATCATTTCACCTGTGAGAAAGTATAAGTTGGTGTAGATTTTTTATACCAATTTATAATCTTACAAATATTATAAACGCGAAAGTTTGTGACTCTCACGCAAAAACTACTGAACGGATTTTGATGAAACTTTACTGTAATATACCATGGCTATAAATTTTAAAGATGCAGTAATACATAATTGAGCGTGCGGCGCTGCGGAAAACACTAGTTACCTATATTTTATACTTATTAATAAAATTTAAGTGTCATTCTGAGATTTTAAAAAAAAATATCAAACAAGTATTAAAAAGTTATTATAATGATCTATAAATGTATATAGTTAATAATATAGTAGGCGTAAAACATTCATGAAAATAAAGGAATATAGTCCTTGTAATGATATTACTTATTAATATATAAAAACATATTGTTCTAGCAGAACCCGCGGGTTCGCTCGCACTAAAACTACAAAAAAATCTCTAAAAAGGCAGTTTCATACAATCTTTCATCCCCTATTTTACCCCCTTATAGGATGAATTTAGAAAAATGCTAAAATACGTACCTATTTATTTAATTTTATTGAAGAACATTAATAGCAAGTTTCAAGGAATTCTGATCATACATATTTTTTGGATTGTATTATAACGTGTTTTCCCGTGGACATAAGATAATCCCCGCGGTTAAAAGTAGCCTATGTCACTCTCCAGCCTTCCAACTATCTACACATAAAAATCACGTCAATCCGTCTCTCCCTTTCGACGTGAAAGACGGACAAACAAACAAACACACACTTTAACATTTATAATATTAGTCTGTATGGATTCAGTCCTTTTTAACTTCATACTGCTGGGCACGGGCCTCCCTTCAATACGAGAGGGATCAGGCCATAGTTCACCATGCTAGCCAACTGCGGGTTGGCGGACTTCACATGTCTTTAGAACATTAGCTAATGCAGCATACAACTCTACTGAGAGAAGCTTTTCAGACATGCAGGTTTCCTCACGATGTTTTCTTTCATCGTTAAGACAAGTAAAAACGCTTAGTTTAAGAAATTTCAGTATTATTTTGAAAACTATTCCTCATACATATTGTTTAGAATAATTACTTAGAAATATAAAATTTTCATTGTATTACCTATAACTTTATAAGCGTATGCCTTTCCAATCGTAGCACACGTTTTAAATACATATTATACATATTCATAACATCCATTATTTTCGGGAACTTCCGACCATTGTCCGCCCGATATCGGAGTGAAATATGTTGTTTCGACATGTTCTACAAGTAATATGGAGTATTTCCATAGTAAATGAATAAAATAAGGAAACGCAATCAATAATATAAGCCAATAATATCTATTTATTAGCATTCTGCAAATTTATAATATACAATTTTAAAGTGTACATGAAAAAAAATATATTTAAATGCGGCATTTCAAACAAAATCCCTCGCTGTTATTCTCATAAATATCATAACAGGAAAGCCAGTAGATAACCTTTATCCGCAGTATTGTAAGTACCTCGTTACTTTATCCGTTGAGAACGTTTAAAATGTGTAAAGAGTGAGTCGGTCCACCGATTCCTCTGAATTTTCGTTGTTAGCTACATTATTACCGCGGTCGAGGGTCACGTTGCTTTCTACTCGGTTCTACGTTAAAAATTGCTTGCATTCTTCTTGTCTCGTTTATTTTTGCGGCTGGATTTTTATTTTTTATTACCATCCAACCGTTACGCTTTATTTTCTTGAACATTTAATTGAATTTATAACTGAGGAATAGAAATTCTATCACTGGAATTCCCATACATTTTATTAATGTACTGATTTTGTTATGTTGTATGCTGCATTAGCAGCTTATATTTCTATCGGTTTTTTTTACAGAAGTGTAATTTATGTTTAGATAAAAATTACACAAATAGGTATATGTCTGATCGCTTTCCGTGTATGCTTTGTGAATTGTTTAACTATGTTTACTTTCAACCTTGTGTCTGAGCAAAATATACATTTTTATTTCAAAATTGTACCATCATAATGTAGGTAGTTTTCGCAAATCGTGGGAGCAACCCCGTGGCTGTTGTGGTTTGCCTTGGCAGGCCAGCCGTCGAAGTGTCAGGCTTGAGAGCGTAAGTGATTCTGTTATACCCCATTAAGACGGGGTTCCATTGGGTATAGTGGGTTATATTGGCTTTTCTAGATGGTGAACACCACATGACTCCCTGTATATATACACATATGCAGGTGGTATGAGTAAATGTTAAAAAAGGTAATTTTCGCAAAACTTATACTTTACTTACGTAATAATATGTATGAGTTTCAAACATGAGATATTATGTATATATATGTAAGTTACTGAAATATATACTTTTTTGTATACTTATATTTTTAAAGTTATGACAACATTCGCATAATTTTTTCTTTTTTTGTCGAATATTTTTTCGATTATTATGAAAAAGTAGAGTTTGAAAACATTATGAATAAAATTGACAGTGCAAATTGTCCTCACCTATATTAATGGAGCTCTTGAAATATAGAGATCTTGATCAAAATAGAAAAATATTTTTACATATATTATTTCAAATTCAAATCAAGACTTTATCGATAACTATTCATCCGATAAACGTTTAAGACAGGTGTTTGATTTGAGTTTGTGTTACTTGACCACAAATCAGAGGTCCGTGCACTGTAGCTGACGTCGTGTTATGATTTTCTATAGAATAAAATATCATTTGATAGTATTCTTAAAGCACTAAACATAATCTCAAGACATTTTTTAATATATCGGTAATAATTGTAATTAAAAACGTAATTTTAAGCATCAATTGTAAATTATTTAAAGGTAATTAATAATGTTCTTAACATTGACCAAACAGGATTGGAGTTCGTGTGAATTGCCCACAAATCTGCGGCTCTCGCGGTGCAACTGACACCTTACTTGACGCTTGCGACGGACACACCCTCTTTTGTTTATCCCTCGAAGCTTATTAATTAATGTACAATGCGAATTGCCAGAATATTAAATAATTAATAATACTATCCATTAGTATTTTGTGACATAGCTCTAGCAATCGATTTAATTGTTTAAAATAATGTTTTTTTGTAACTTCTTGTTTTAACATACATACAATATATGTATACATAAATCGAAATTATACTATAATTATAGAAAATTATATTTAACCGTATTTTCTAAAAAGTTATCAAATGATGATAACGTTTTATCAATAACGTATACGATAAGTGTGGTATTTTAATCATGTTGATCACAAAATTATAGCAAAAACTGCGGAGGCTGCGTCGGCCGGCTGCGACACCGGTCACACCCATTCCATGTCAACTGCGGCCGCCCTGCCGCTTGTCCGTGCTCGTCACGCCTGTGTATTACCTAATTTAATTTGTACTCGAGGCAATTTATGGCCTACAGAAGTGCCATCTGCCCGTCCATCACCCATATTTGTGACTTTAGTAAGCCCGATAAACAAATCAGATTGTATATATATAAATGAACCCCTGCCTGAACTTCAAATAATTTCATATATTGAAGTTAGTATAAAAATTGGATTTTATTTGCGCGAATATTGTGGTATGTATGAGTAAATATCGTGACTGTAGCCTAAAGTAATTTCAAGCGGGCGAGCCAGCGGTCTTTGTTGCATATCGGGCGGTAATAGAATTTGGTCCGCTTTTTGCGCGGTCGGTCGCTCTGGCCGCGTAATGGCGGACTCGGTTCCCTTTGTAACTGCATCTAAATCTGCCCCAAATATACGTCTGCCTGGTTACGGTACACACTTACACTGTACCAATTAGTCTTTATGACTATCCTATGATTAAATTCACACTATTTCTAATGAAATAATTCTCATAATTGAAAGTTTATGTTCAGTTTAGTTTAATGATTTTAAAGTTTGTTATGTACTGTTCGCATTGTACACATCTTATCTCGATTTAAGCTCAACTCAGCTTTAAGCTTTAGTATATTCAAAATAATATACGCTATGAATCTTGTTCTTTTTTATTCATAAAGCCAATGTAAAACTAAAAATCCTATTAAGTTTAAAAGGAATTGGACTAAAAAAATTAAAATAAATCTTGGAAGCCACTTATGCAAAACGGCCCGAAACTCATCGGTTTAAAAACAATTTAAGGACCGCATTGCGAAAAAGTTTTATACGTTTTGTCGGTTAGGGGCAGCTGCTTTTCGCCCACATATGTAGTGGGCGAACTACCGAGTAACGTAAATCCTTTTCTAACTCGAGTTTAGTGGCCAGGCGTTGTCGCGCTCAAAACGCACCATCCGGGGATATTGGCGCCTCTGGAATGTTCCCTGTTTGCATTAGCTGTGTTCGAAAATTGTTTCACTTTCAAATTCGGCATCTCTTTGTCCATTTTACACGAGCGTGTTATGTTTGCGTAATATATATGCATCAATTTCAACCTTATACATCTATCTATATTATAATTATATTTATTATTATATATAAAAATGAATGTACGTATGCTTGTTATATATGCATTTCTAAACTGTTGATCCGATTGTGATGAAACTCTGGTGGGAGTTTGAATACGTCTGCGAAGGTTTCTGGCGTAAAACATATATTCATTGGAAATTTGCCTTTTATGCATTCCATTGGTTTACCATTCAAGCTCAGATACGAAAAAAAAAGATACAAACAGAGCGAAGCGAACATATGTCGTTAGTATTGAATAAAAAGAAATAGTTATAAATCATGCTAGTATATCATACCTACTCATTTTTGTCAAAATGCTATGAATTTAAAAAAAGTTTCTATTTATGTTTTGGCTATTTTTGAATAAATTAAATCTGACTCTAAAGAAAAGGTTTAATTACATAATTAAAAAAATATTTTTCTATGTTAAATATAAATGGACCCTTTTACTGCAGTTCATTTAATTTTCCAGTGGGTGATATTTTTGTCCATCTGTCACATGGCACTAAATAAACAACTTTCATCCTTAGGGTGTCATTATAATGAAAAGTAATGAAGTTGCCGACCCCTCTACGTTTTCTTAGGCTGAGAGCCTTATTTGTATTAGTTAGTACGTGTTATTGTGCAATTTTCTTTATTTTGTTCTGGTCTATTTGAAATAATTAAAACATAATTTGTAAAATGTGTTATCAGTAACCTTTTTCATAAACATCACATAAAAAACTTTTAAAAAAATAATAATAACTGACTTATACAGATATTTTCGAAGTCGGTGTGCTTTGATTTGTATCGGCTGGCACGGACTTCGAAAATATCTGATTAGGTATCTATTCTAAACGAAAACCCCCGTTTAGTTGTTTTTTACTTGTTAGTACCTGGAAGTTGGTTATTTTTTTTAAGTTTTTATTTTTTCATTTTTAGTGTAGACGTATTTAAAAATAATTTATTGTTGATTTTTGAAAAAACCGCTCGACCGAGTTTGATAAAATTTAAATGGGACCATCTGGAAGGTATACAACAAAAAAAGAATTTTCCAAATCGGTTCAGACATCTTCGAGTAATCGATGAACATACGTAAAAAATATACACAGCCGAACATAAAACCTCCTCCTTTTAGGAAGTCGGTTAAAAATATCTATAAAAAAAAGAATTTATGTGATGTTTGATCTACGAGTAATAATATAACACTTATAAGTATTTTTAATTTAATTTTAGACCTCCTGTCAGGTTATAAATTTTTCCCATTTCAGTAATATTTTAGGTTGTCATCCCTCCGTATAATTACGGGGCCGTTAATAAGCTGTAACATTGACGCGGTGTAATCAAAGTCAAAATAAATCGTGACGAAATGAAAAACCGACATGAAAACAGAGAATATTTTATCTTTTAAAATACAGGCATAAAAACTCAGTAACTTGTAAGCAAGCTAGCCCCGTGGCATGTCAGGGAAGATAGTAGAAATATGAATTATGATCTCTTTAATGACTACTTTAACGCTTTCAATGTGCTTTATGAATAATGAAATTAGTTGCTTATTCCGTTCTTGAGTTTCGTGTCTGAGACTTAATAAGCTTTATGAATTACGAGTAGCTCGTTAAATATCTGACTGGTTTTTATGCTTAGTTTTATCAAAGATTATAATTTTTTATCCCGTACTCAGTTTGCGTATTATAAATCAGACGTGATAATATTTTTTTACCGACTTAGAGGAGTGGAGAGATGAAGTACGTAAGTAGGTTTCGTCTGTGTTTTTGTGGTTGTGTTACTCGATATTTTCTATAAACGTGGATACTTACTTTTAAGCTGAAGTCCGTATACTTTTTATGTTAAAAAGTAAATATTAGATCTTAAAAACTTTAACACCTTCTTGTTGTTCACTCTGAGATTATTTTGTAAGAAATCGTTAAATAATGTGATTCCTTACCATTTTCCCTAGTCCAGTAGTTAATAGCTTTGGGCGAAGCTTCCACGAGGCATTGTAAAGTTACATCCGTGCCGGTCGGCGCACCAACTAGTTGATTTGGAACTTGCACCAGAGGATGAACTGAAAAACAAAAATAATTTTAATATGTGTATAGTAGATAATTTTGCAAAAACGATATTATGCTATTAAATATTTTATTAACAAAAAAAAACAATATTTTATTAAAATCTAGCGAAAATGTTGCCATTAGCGTATAAATCTATTATATAATTTGTACAACCAAAAAAAAAATAGTGGAAAATAATTAAAAACTAAATTTCAGGAAAAAAATCGAAATAGTTAAAAACCTTTGTACAGTAAAAATATAACGACGTACAACTTATGTCCTGGGCCAAACTACATCTGTGTTTATTATTATTTTGCAATTTGTCCTCCAGAAACCACTTAACAAACCAGGGTAAAAGTATTCTTTGTAACAGAGGGATAATGTAGCTTACGAGGAGTGAAGGAATTTTTAGAATTGTATCGGCAATTGTAGAGTTTATATTTTACACTAGCATTGTTCGCGGCTCCGTCCGCGATCAGATGACCAACAACCAAATTCTTAGGTTTTATGTATATTAGTATACTCTTACATTGCAGTTTTTGTATTTTTCTCAGAAATGAGCTATTTTGCCAAGGTAAAAAGTATCCTATATGTTGACCCGGATAACCAGCTGTCACTATACAAAAATTTATCAAAATCCCTCCAGTGGTTTTTCTGTGATGCGGTAACAGACAGACAGACAAACAGACAAATAACTAAAAACTATAGATTCGGCCTCTGTATCGATAATAAAAAAAATCAATAAGATTTTCCAAAAACTATTTAATGTACAGATTCGACTTAGTTACAATTTTATTATATATATAGATTTAAACTCACTAACTTTACCTCTTTATATCATTAGTAAATTGCTTATAGTTAATTTCAATTATAATAATACATACATAAAGTCTTTATAATTATAATAGCATAATTGTATAAATGCTTTGTCATAAAGTCGAGGGCACTATAAATATATTAAAGAACAAATTAAAAGGGCTCCCAGAGCGACTTCGAATATTTTTTACAATTTTAATTCCGAGTGCATGAAATAGTATGCCGGCGTTTACAGTAGCCAGCGGTTTGCAATGATGTACACTCACCGCAACGTATTTCAGCGTTTAAGCTCGCACAGTTTTCATATTTAAATGGCATATAATAGGGTTTATTATGGGTTGGACAATATTGACAGATTGTACGTGTAGTGGATCGTTGTATATACTCGTACATATAGTGGGTTTAAGCCGCATTTTTGTTTACACAACTTCCCATTTACATTTATTTGCAGTGGCGTGTTTGCATTGCTAGCTAGATGTTGTGCCTTTTACATTTCGCACAGCTGAACGCATCTACGCTTACCGCAGACATTTAATGTTATTTAGTTTGGCATGCGATACTTTAACACTGTTAACATTTACCGTGGTCATAATTAAGCAGTAAACGCTTCCTACAATCGAATTTTACAGTATAACTGAATCTCCAAGTAAATCGTCCGAATTATTCAGATATCACCAAATATATGTTTATGTTCTTTGTTTCGTAAGTATGATAGCATGACTCTTAATAAAAACGAGTGTTTGCCGCAGTTTCGCGGTCGTAGTTTATTTAAGTAAGGCAATGTTAGCTTCCAAGGTTTGTAGCTTGATGTTAGATAAAATTTAACCTCCCTCAATAAATCTATACATATAATAAAATTGTAACTAAGTCGAATCTGTACATTAAATATTTTTTGGACAATCTTATTGAAATAGACATTATTATCGATACAGAGTTCGAATTTACAGTTTTTAGAATTTTTGTCTGTCTGTCTGTTACCGCATCACGAGAAAACCACTGGACGGATTTTGATGAAATTTGGTATAATGATAGCTGGTTATCCGGGTCAACATATAGAATACTTTTTACTGCGGGAAAATATGTCATCTCTGAGAAATTTATATTAAACGTTAAAACGTAACGTAGCCATGAAATGCAAAAAGAAGCATTTAAATTGGACAGTTATTTACAAATCAAGAAAAAAAAACTAACAAAATTAAAAATCAACAACGTAAAGCTTTTTAGCTTTAAATAGGGCACCCAATATTTTCATTTTGGATTGGTTTTATTTTGAAACTTAAAGAAAGCTCTTAGTAAAAATTACATTGTAATTATTTTGACATATATAAAAGTAACTGAATAATATGAATTTCGGGATACTATTGAATTTAAATTGTGAAGACAAATACAAAGTAAAAGTCTTCTATATTGCTATTAAATATGCGACAATGCAATAGCACATTCCTTAGTACTGGGTGTTTGCTAAGAAAAGAAGCCCCGCTTCGCCACTTCGCGGCAAATTCTGCACTTGTCAGGTGTTTATTCTTGCCTTACTATTATTGTAAATTTAGTTTTATTCAATTTTCCTAGTCCGAATAAAAGCAGTCTCAGGTCAGTCGTACTTCGTCGGTACTTTCAATAAGAAGAAGCCTATTTATTAATCTAGGACATGAGCTACATATCTATAGGTACATAATATATAGTATTAAATTATATACATAATATATAGTATAAAATTAGATAATAGATTTTTTTTTGGAAAATCTTATTGAAATAAACATTATTATCGATACAGAGGCCGAATCTATAGTTTTTAGAATTTTTGTCTGTCTGTCTGTCTATCTGTTACCGCATCACAGAAAAACCACTGGAGGGATTTTGATGAAATTTGGTATGATGATAGCTGGTTATCCGGGTCAACATATAGGATCCTTTTTACCGCGGGAAAATATCTCATTTTTGAGAAAAAATACAAAAAACTGCAATGTAAGAGTAAACTAATATGTAAAACCTAAGAATTTGGTTTTTGGTCACCTGAACGCGGGCGGAGCCGCAGGCAATGCTAGTGTATGTATATATGAAGATATTCATATTTAATTTATAATACATCTTCATTTACAGCATGAATTACCAACCAACAAACATTCGCATTCATAACATTCGTGTTATTTTATAAAAAAAAAACTACAAAGAAAATTAATTATCTTAATTAAGTTCTCATTTACTAATTATTATTTGCACTAACTTTCAGTGCCATTAGATTTAGCTTTCTAGTTTCATACGTAGCGTAGTTCAGAATTAACTTACGCTTAATAACAATTATTATACAGTACTAATATTACAATTAAATTTATTTAAGCAAAATGTTAATAAACCAGTCAAAATAACAATATAAGTTATATTAAACTAAAATTAATTTCTTAGCCATGTTCACATCGTATTTGCCAACGCTCTGCCGCTTCGTGGTAAAATTCCGTTGCGTCTGTCAGGTGTTTACTCTGAACATTATCCTGGGCTGCCTTGCTCGTGTTTGGATTGCGTTTTCATTGGACTAACCGTTTGTTCGCAAATTAAACTTGGGCTCTCATTGTTTTCAGATCTTATATATTAGTTGAAATAGAACAGAATATAATTGTAAGATACAATAGTAATAATTATAACTTTATTTGTTTAGTAGTCTATATATTAAAGTATGGAGGCCAATTAGGAATATATAAATAGCATATATGTACCTATATTAAAGATAAAATTTAATTATATAACTAAGCCTAGCCCATAACCCATGCTAGCTTAAGAAACTGAATGGAATGTTTCTTGGATATCCTTATATAGCACAGAGACAAATGTCTGGACATATATTTTGATTTGAATTTGTACTTTTTGTTATGGATATTTTCAAATATAACATTATTTCTCTTATTCTTTCAAGAAATTACCTTTATCTATACATATAATTAAATTCTAACTGACTCGAATCTGTACATTAAATATTTTTTGGAAAATCTAATTGAAATAGCTATTATCGATACGGAGGCCGAATCTATAGTTTTTAGAATTTTTGTTTGTTTGTCTGTCTGTCACTACGTCTAGGAACGTATCGCGAGAAAATCACTGGACAGATTATAATGAAATTTGGTATGATGATAGCTGGTTATCCGGGCCAACATATAGGATACTTTTTACTACGGGAAAATATCTCATCTCTGAGAAATCTATACTAACCGTTAAAACGTATCTAGGGACAAAACCGAGCGTAGTGAGAGTGAGCCGCTAGTTTATTATAAAAAATAAATATATATATTTCTTAAAACAGATCATTTTACAAAATATAAAGCAATCCATACTAAGTCCTTTTAGTCTGTTCTGAGGGAATTAAAGAAAGAATTTTCTCCATCAGCCTTATATTGCAGCTTATTTGTGGTTATTCTCTTTGACCGTCGTTAAGATCTTTAGACGGCTTTTACGACTTCAAGTGGCCAATTTAACGAACAAAATCTGAACGATTAGAATTTTTGTTCTAATTAATAACTTGGAACCCCACTAAGGATAGCCTTTTGCTTATTAAATAAGCCGGAATAATGAGAGGTAGATTTCAATCTAATTAAAAAGCTATGAGTTTTGCGATCTTCGAACTTAAACTTAGACGAATCCTTTTGTACAAAAAGTATAACAAGTTTTGGGTAGTGATTAGGTAATTTCCAAATATATAAGTATCAGTAGTAAAGACTCTTCTCGGCAATCAAAAGTTACGAGAGTTTTCTTGGAAAGGATTCCGCGTGGAATTCTTGAAGTGACAGTTTGATTAACGGAGCGGCGCACACGCTACGCCATTTTCGGATTTCTTGGTGTTTTGTAGTCAACACTACCTTGAGATTTTATCGAGATTTTCTCCTTACTTCCTAATGATAATATACTTGTTGAGAGATGTTCTATAAAATTAATATGCAAAGCTATTCCTTTGAAATATAATAAATAAAAATAGCCTTTATTAACTTATTACTTTCGTTAACATTTTTCTTTCTTTTGAACACAACCATTTATACAAATCTTTGGGACTTTCTGTATGTGTATTTGTTAATGTTTTTACTTATCTATATAAAACTATATGACTATCTATATATCTACATAACTATAAGTGTACTAACTTTTGTAAATATATATTTCTATATATATATATATATGTGTATGTAGCATAAAATAATAATCAGTATATATTAGTAGCAGACGCCTCTACGGCGTAGGCCTTTGAAATATAATGTAGAATTATTCAAATTGCCTAAGTTATAAACAGAAAAGTTTCAGCAATAATTGTAATGTACAACATTTTTTAAATAACCGAACATAAACAACGCTCAAGTCTCATAATCTCCACGAAAATGTTTATTTTAGATTAAACTAAAAGACTTAAGATAATTGATTACGATTTATATACTTCGTTGGGGCATTTTCTTTTCTCTAAACTCATTTACCTGCCACCTTGAAGACCCCCGTGAATCAAGTAAAAGAAACTCGGCGCGTTACGAGGTAATTACTGTTACAAATGAATTGCTGTACTCCTGCTGCTCTTAAGAGTGTTTTTATTTTCGCACCAGGCACCATCGGACGGCCACAAGTCCTCGCGATTCGTTGTTATCATTCGTTTTTGGGGAAGGAAATTTAAATTAAATATTTGAGGGTGTTAATTTTGTCTCCTCATCGAGCGAGCGCGACGCATTCTTTGTGAAGTAATTAAACTGAGTAGAAGGGTTCCTGCCAGTAGTTTGTTTGTTCGTTTGAAATTACGTTTTCTATGAAGTAAATTTCTCTTAGTTGTCCCTGAGAGCAAACTGCTATTTGTTTTATAGATATAGCATAAAGTGGCGAGCTACTGATGCTTTTGTGTAATTGATTTACTTTGTAATGGTTTAATGTTAGCTTTTGTAAAAATATATGGCACTTTAAGTTAGTTGTATTTACTCTTTGCCTTTTGTGAATGTTTAGAGATATTGCGGTTATAACTGATGTTTTTATCTAAGAAATTATTTAAATATATGTTTATATATGTGTTCGACAGACGTTATTTTAACAAAAATACCGACTTTAACAAAGAGGAACTAAATACAGTTTTATTTGTTTATGCAACATATGTAGCGCGGTATTTCCACCGATTGCTTACCGATTTTCATAATATTTCTTAAAGTATATATGTATGGGTAAAATATTGTATGATACAATTGTCAAGAAAGATTTTGTTTCATAAATGTTAATTATTAATTTTAAAAATAACTATTTTTTTTTAGTTAGTATCTTTTTAGTTAAAAAAATATTATCTGTAAATAACGATTCATACAAGAAAAAGTGTTTTAATATTTATAACAATTATACAAATTTGTAGTTTAACATTTTACTTGTTATAACAAGATTAATAGACTCTTTTATATATAGGTTAATACAATGTACACAAGCCAGTTCAATCAGTCGAGTGTGTACATCGGTACTGCCAATAACTGAATGCAAATACCTAGTGGACAACGTTCGGACCGATAGCGACCAAAGCTTCGAAAAACTTTTACACATATTGAACTAAAACCGAAAGTGGACACAACCAATTCATGAATTTAGAACAGTTAATTAAAAGCTGAAAAGTATGTTAGCGGTTAATTGAATTTAATGAATGACCGAAGTTTAGATTTTGGTTTCAATTACAAGTTCTGGGATATGTTCAACTTTTATGTAATGGATTTGGGAACGAAAGTTTTGCAGAATATTTTTAACGCAACGAAAGCTCATGGAATTCATTTCATTACATATAATGAATTTTCTTTAGTTTCAAAAATTTGGTAATTAAAATATCTTAACTGAAATAACACTTGTATATTTACAATAAATTTTAATATTAATATTTCATTATCACTATCAAGAATATTGATACTCATAAATATTTTCATATTTTTTACTATCATCGGAAAAATAAGTTGAACATGATTTTGCTGTTATAAAATTATGTACGTATAATTGACTGCTTTAATTAAAATTTCCATGGACGTTCACGTTATATGAAAATAAATAATGACAATATTATTTTTGGTTCATTTTTTAAGGTATGAGGTCTCGAGTGATCTGTATGCAGGTAGATATGATGGAGCGCTTTGTTAAATTAATATAAAATTTTATAAACTTCATAAGCAATGATGGATCGTCTCGTGGATAGATTGATGATTTCAATTATATTTTAGGTCTTTTAAAATAATTTAGGGCAGCCTTATATCATAAATTGCGTAATATCAAATATTTACAGTATTTGCTCGGGATAGTAAGTATTCAATTTTTTTTTTGAACAGGACTTGAATTCTGGATCATTTTCAACCGAGTTCCAAATAGGAGGAGGTTCTCGATTTGTCGGAATCTTTTTTTTATGTGTGTTAAGCGATTACTCGAAGAAAATTCTTTTTTTGTTTCAAAGGGTACATTTCCCTTGTGGTACCATTTAAATTTTATCGAAATCGGTCGAGCGGTTTTTAGTTATTTTTTACTTTTTAGTGCCTGGAAATCGGTTATTTTTTAAGTTTTTTATCAGATAAAATCTTATGATAGGCGATAATTTATATGTATACTTTAATAACTCCTTTTTTAGTTATACTCGTATTAAGTTATGTCGATAAAAGTTTGTCTTTATAATGAAATTGATATTTTTTTTAACTTTTAAATATAAATGAAAATCCATACAACATTGTATTATTCCGTTTTCACGATCGACCTCTGAATGAGAAATGTTGAGATAAAAGATTCATTTATTTTAGTGCAACTACCTGAAAAGAATATATTTATCATTTGTTTTCATTGAACTGAAAGCTTTGTTTTATTCTATAAAGCAACAAAAACAGCGTTATAATGGGGTAAAATATTATTTCTGATATAAAGCTTTGCAATATTTTCAGTTTGTGTATTGAATATGATATATATTTTATTTATATCGTAATAATTTTAAGTCGGTCAACTTCATTGAGATAAGTAAAGTGCAACAAGTCTATGTATTTATTACAAATGTATCAAATAATAAATTCGTATACTTATTTAATACTAACAACATTTTTTTTCTTTCTTTTTTACACTTCTTAATCTCTCGATGATGGACTCTTTGGTTTTCAGGTGATTCATTTTGTTTAGAATTCTACTTAGTAGAGGAACATTAAACATCACATGTTCCATTTTTAACTGAGCACCTTTGAGTGTAGCTAAATGCTCTGATTTTAAGAGACATCATTGTGGCATCAATGAACCCAGGACAAGACATACTTTCTATAAGTCGCCTAGTCCGATTCTATACTTCGGTTAGCTTTCTTTTCAAAGTTCAAAGTCACGCAGTTAATTTCAAAGCGCACCATTCTCGAGGCCACATGACTAATAGACATGTTTTAGAATTGATATCGATTTTCGTGTAAATCGATCTAACTATTGCTAAATTGCTATGGCCAGATTTAAACTATATTTATCAAATAAATCTCAAAGGTATTTCCGGGGCACGAGATAAGGCTTTATTAAATCTGTTTTTATTTTACACTAGCAGCTCACCCTCGCTTCGTTCGGGTCCGCTTTTAAATAAAAACAAATTATCTCATGGGAAACGTACATTTTTCCGGGATAGAAAGTAGCTTTTATACTATTCCAGACTATAATATATCTCTAAAAAATATAAATATAAATAAAAATATAAATTTGTAAGATTTATTTATTTCATACTAGCAGAACCCGCGGCTTCGCTCGCGCTAAAACTACAAAATAAACTCTAAAAAGGTAGTTTCATACAAACTTTCATCCCCTATTTTACCTCCTTATAGGATGAATTTCGAAAAATGCTTAGACACGTATTTATACAATTATATTGAAGAGCAATAATACCAATTTTCAAGTAATTCTGATCGTAAATATTTTTTTGGATTGTATTTTAACGTGTTTTCCGAGGGAATTAGATAATCGGCCGCGGTAAAAAGTAGCCTATGTCACTCTCCAGCCCTCCGACTATCTCAACACAAAAAATCAAGCCGATCTATCACTCCGTTTCGACGTGAAAGAAGGACAAACAAACACACTTTCACATTTATAATATTAAAAGTATGAATAAACAAAAACAACACAAAGTTTTCCTAACTAGCTGTCGGTGGTTTACACAATCGAAGTCGAATATACGATTAGTATATAATAAGTTTAACCGAGTGATAGTCAACAGGGCACTAAACACGCCAGCTACAAACGACCCGAATCCATTTAGATGCACGGCACGCATCGAAGATGATACGTGATAACGCGAAAATCTCAATTGCTTACGTGTTTGAAATGTCGGGCCCTTTACTTCCCGACCAGCCGAGCATTGAATAACTCTGTTATAAATTAGCCTTCGAGATCGTCTGATAAGAGTTCGCGACGTAGCTTTTTGCTCATTGGTACTATACGCAGGTGAGTAGATTTTATCGCTGGATGAATTGATTCATGCCCTGAATTCGTAATGTGATTCGCTTCATCTTCCAACGAGTCTAAAGGTTCAGTTGACGAATGAGAAGTAATATTTAATCGAAAGTGTTTTATGTATTTGTTATTTATATTTATGTGGCATTTGGTGTTTCATTTATTAAATTAAAATAATATTTAAACAAGTTTTACTGATATAAAAAAATAAACTATTTCTCATTGAGACTAGCCAACTGCGCAGGAGATATTATAGTGCACAAGTGTACGCACAGACACAACGCGCACTCTCTATTCCTGTCACTCTCATACTCCGGTGGGACGACTGCTCGACACGACCAGTGAGAGTTAAGGCGCAGGACCGACGGCTTTTACGTGCTCTCCGAGGCACGGGGGTGAAACACCGCCAACTTCCTAACTCCGGGCTATTACTAAGGCTTACTATACAGAAAGACTCAAAAACTAAACTTGGCTCGACCCGAGACTCGAACCCAGGACCCGGGTGTCCAGCCGTACATGCTAGCCACTACACCACCGAGGCACTTCAAATATACTATACCTATTTAATAAAAAATATAATATAATAAAAAATTAAACTATTAAAAGTATACTGGAAATATACTTACAATGTACATGCAGCATTATCCTCTTGCTCACGGAGGGCGGCACGCCGTTAGCCGCGATGCACAAGTATGCTCCCATTTCTGATCGAGTCACTTTCGTTAAGTTCACTATCTCGCCCTCTAGTGATGTCACTGTTAATAATATTTAATACATATTAGTAAGAGTAAGAAAGAATGGCACAATAATTATTTTTGACAAAAATAATACAACTAATTATAGAGTTGTATTGAAAACTTTTGACAAATATTATTTATTTTTATAAGAATTGCTGTCATCGTTGCCTGCAGACTGTTTAAGATTAAAAGACCATTGGATATCATCCAGCCAATCGAGTACTATTGGAAACGAACGGACGTATTCAATTTATTTAAAAACACATAGCCAAAATCATAGTGTTATTTAAATAATGGAAAGAAATTAAACTTAGAATTTATTTAAAGTAATAATTTCACAAAATTTTGCATTTTAAATATTTATTTTTCATATTCTTATGTAAGATGGAACATATATTTCATCAATTCATACAGTAAAAACAAACATTTTCACATCATCACTACTGCTTGCTTTACATTTCACCAAGGAGCCTTGGAAAACACTTTCAAATGCCAAAGTAGACAGGCTTTGATAAACAAGTGCGGTTAGTGGTTTGAACTCGAGCTGTTTTCTTGACACCTTGCTCAAATGGCACCGAAGTACGTTTAAAGGCATTATTCAAACAAGAGGATAAAAAGAAGGGCAATATTTTTCGAAGGAGCTGAAGGGAGTGATGGTTTAAAGTGTAGAGCTCTCGGTCGACCGACTTGCCACGCTTCGTTAGCAAACAATAGCAGACCTACGCATCGATAGAGTCGATTTTATATAAATTGTATTCAAATACATAATTATTTTTTGATATAGCTATTTTTATTAATCGATTGATCTTTTTATTTAGATCTTTACTTAGGATAAAGTTTAGAAATATTTAAGCGAAATGAATTTGTGGTTAAATAGATATGTACCTGCTGCCCATTATTATGCAGTAACTACGTCTGAGTACAATAGATACCATTAGGACAAAGCTTATTTTGATTATAATCTTTTAAGAGCCTAGTAAAGCCGTGTTGTAAGGAAATACTGTAAATATACTATTAATGAAAATATTTGTTTTAATTATAACGCTAAGTTGAAATTACATAGGTTGTTATAAAATTCCTAAGAGGTAAGATATTAAAATTATGAAATTCCGCGACTCCACGGAATTCATGTTCCGTCTTTGAAGCGGGCCGTTGAACAAACTTCGCCTGTCGATGTGTCAGAAGTCAAGAGACTCTCAAGCCCCTCGGACCCGAAGCTCAGGCTTGGGGGCATTTCTACAGGCGACAGGAAATTTGTAAAATTATCATCGTACTTAAGATATTTACTTGATCTTAAGTTAATTATTTATTAAACGTAGAAATTTATCAACTTTACCATATCAGAATAAATGCTAAGACAAATATCTTCTGAAATAACATAAATAATAGTACATATTATATATGTATACGAATACAAAGGCTTCTAAAATATTTTTTAAACTGATAAAGTATTTTAATAAACAAAATAATTTGTATGAATAATTTATAGACGTTAGTATCTTAAATTAATCTGCTGGCTAGGAATAATAAGAATACCAATATTTTATTTTTATCAACCGCATTTATTTATACATATTTCTACATATTATATTAATGTCCTATGGTTATTTGCACTACATTGGCAGTCAAAACAACCAATTTTTGTTTATCTGTCAGTTTTACCAATAAACTTTCAGAAGAGCTGAACTGATTTTAATGGAACTTTGACTTGCGGATAGAGAATAAAGGTAAAATGACAATCTTTTTTTTGTTGCGGAAAAAGTCTTTTTATGGCACATAGCGTAGTGAAAAGCAAAGCTTAGAGAGTACCAAACGTAACAGTAAAAAGTACTCTTATCTACTCGTATAACTTTCAAGGAGTTAAAATAAAAATCTATTAGTTTAATATCAATATTTAAATATCTATACCAATATTATAAAGAGGAAAGATTAGATTTTTTGTTTGTTTGTTTGTACTGAAAAGGCTCCGAAACTACTGGACCGATTTAGATGAAAATTGGTAAAAAAAGTTTGAGATTCTGAGAACAACATAGGATAGTTTTAACCCGTAAAGGGATGTTAATGGGTGCTAAGAGGGTGGGATGTAGTTAAGGGATATTAAGAGGGTGAAAATGGGGATGAAATTTTGTATGGGGAATCAACCTAGGAACGAACCCGAGCGAAACAAGGGTGAGTCGCTAGTCTATACTAATATTATAAATGTGAAAGTTTGTGAATATATATGAATGTTTGTTACTCTGGCGTAAAACGCCAGAACGGCTGAACGGATCTGGATAAAATTTGGCACAGAGATAGGTTATAGTGTGGAATAATACACCACTTTTTATCCCGGAAAATATACGGTTCCCGAGGGATAGATTTGCTTTTGTTTTTTTAGAGCTGAGCGAAGCGACGGTGAGCCGCTAGTATTATATAAAACTCGTATATACATACATACGTGTTTATTCTTTATTGTATTGTATCTGTTGTGGTATATTTTTACAATTTGTGTCAGAAAAAATTAAGTGGTCATTTTATATTTACTTTCAAGTATCAAATGCTAAAGTTTTGTTAAAGCAGTAAGTTTTAAACTTATTAATATTCTGTGAATGGGATAAAACGTTTAAAGTAGCCGCAAGCAAAATGAAAAGCCAACATTTATCCATTGATCCGCTCGTCAAAGTTAAATTTTAATTAGAAGTTGAAATGCTATGTTTATTACTAATATATTATTTTTGTTTAGTGCGTATGTTTTTTCATGTTACATTATGAATTCCTACAAATATTTCTGTTTGTATTTTATACTTCATACTAGTAATATCTGCTCTAAACTTGCAGCAATAGTCTGATGAAAAGCGTCAAATAGAAGGACGATGGAGTTAATTTGCATCGCTCTCAGCCTAAGTTACAGCCATTCATTCGCTTATCTGCATAATTTGTTATAGAACATGAAACAAATAGGCTTCCTACAAGCCGTTGTCACTAAAACATGTTTTATGCGACCATAAGGAACAATTTTGTGTAAAATAGTATTTATTGTTAAAACAACAAACTCATTGTCATTACAATTATACCACGCGTTTTACCCGCTTGTCACTTAAATTAAACACGACATAATCATAATCTATACATATAATAAAATTGTAACTAAGATGAATCTGTACATTAAATATTTTTTGGAAAATCTAATTGAATTAGACATTATTATCGATACAGAGTCCGAATCTATAGTTTTTAGAATTTTGTCCGTCTGTCTGTTTGTTACCGCATCACGAGAAAACCACTGGACAGATTTTGATGAAATTTGGTATGATGATAGCTGGTTATCCGGGTCAACATATAGGATACTTTTTACCGCGGGAAAACATCTCATTTTTGAGAAAAATACAAAAACTGCATTGTAAGAGTATACTAATATGTAAAACCTTAGAATTTGGTTTTTGGTCCTCTGAACGCGGGCGGAGCCGCGGGCAATGCTAGTAATATAAGCATCTTTTATACATAGACTGCTATATATCAAAAGTTCGAAGTCCAAATAATGTATTTTAAATCTACTTCAAGTTGTAAGTGATTTATGCAGCCATACTTCCTAGCAACTTGGGTATAACAAATTTGTAAGTGCCGCTTGCCGTCGTTGAAAAACTATATTTGTCGTGTCCGACACCCCTCGAACTTTACTCATTGGAATATTCTGCGGAGTAACGTTGGCCCACGTAATGGATACCCTGTATTGTTCCCTGTTCAGATTTATGGAGGTAACTTGTAACGGCTTCTTTAATTAGATTTCTTCACTCAAATTGATTATTGTTGCTGACGTCAGTAATTTGAAACTGGTGTACGTGAAAGTTTTCGCTAATACTCAATTATGAAGTAAAAGATATGAAGATTTTAAATTACAATAACTTTGAAAATTCATGAAATTTTAGACGTTCGAATTCGACATTTTACAGTATTTGCAATACTTTGATGTTTATAATAGGTTTCTATAGGAATGAAATAGAATTCTCTAATCTTAATAGCTGTATAGCTGTGCTCGTTTCTCTGTAGAAGTCATTACCGGTACTACTTTGTTAGCTTAATGAATTGACTGATGGCAGAAGGCGCTCTGAACAGTGGTGGGGTTAAGTAGGACCTGCCGATTAATCACCCTGTCAGTACAGCTTCCAATTGCCACTCGTCACGAATTCCCCTTTAGTATTCGATATAATTGAAGTTTCTTGTATCAATAACAAGGACTTTCCTTACATTTACAATGGGAAATAATTGCAAAATAGGAATAGCTAACTTTGAAAAGTTTTTATATTTAAAATATAACAAAAGTTTCATAGTTTGCTATAAGATATTCGTCGTTACAAATTGTTGATTGAGAAATCGTGAGATTTTTAAGGAATTTTAATATAGTTTTTATAATATGATTTACGAGTATATTGTAAAGCAGTAAGTATCTTGATGTATATTATTATTTTATTCAGATTACTAGCATTGCCCGCGGCTTCGCCCGCGTTCGGTCGACCAAAAACCAAATTTTTAGGTTTTACATATTAGTATACTCTTACAATGCAGTTTTTGTATTTTTTCTCAGAAATGAGATATTTTCCCGCGGTAAAGAGTGTCCTATATGTTGACCCGGATAACCAGCTATCATCATACCAAATTTCATCAAAATCTCTCCAGTGGTTTTTCTGTGAAGCGGTAACAGACGGACAGACAGACAAAAATTCTAAAAACTATATATTCGGCCTCTGTATCGATAGTAATGTCTATAAGATTTTCCAAAAAATATTTAATGTACAGATTCGGCTTAGTTACAATTTTATTATACATGTATAGATTAAAATGACATACAAGTCTCTAGCAAAGATCTCGAAAGCAATAATTACAAAAATATAATTACATATAATAAGCTTCGTAATTTTGATTAAATTATTTTAATTGAACAATAATATTGATAGTATTATGTGATTTTATTAGTATTAGTTTGATCTCGAAGGCAAGAATAGTAAGAATATAATGGAGAAGATTCATGATGTTGTTAATATCATATTTATGGCAATGGAATTATATGTAATATAGATTAAAACTAATTATTCAGTGTTTTTTTTGAAATCTATCTATAAATGACTAAGATTTAAATTTCAGCCATTCAGGTCGTGTGACGTCACTAAATTATTCTTACAAGCGCAACTTTAAGATTTTTTACCTTTTTTTAAAGATATTTTGATAATTCTTTCATATTTTTCATATTTTTGTTATATTTTAGTAATTTTTTTATAATTAATACAAAAAAAAAATAGAAACTTCTCCATTGCATATATAAAGCTATGTTATACAGTTAATTAAATTACTTTAATTTAAAAATATAGTTATATGTGATTTAAAAGTATTAGTTTCTTTTTGATAATATGTAAGGAACTGATTCCTCCAACAATAAAGATGAGGTGAGTAATTATTCTAGGGTGGTCTAGAGATTGTAAGCCCACGGGATTAGAATGGGCGGTGTGAATGGTAATAGGAGCTCCCCGTGGTGCTGTGATCTGAGTTACTGCCAAGATTCAATAGTGAATATTTTAAGCGTTGATTTATTCGTTGCTCATTTATTAAACTTCTGAACGTTTAAAATCTAATAAAAATCATAGTTATATATCCTTATATGGATGAAATAGTGTTGTTTTTTTTTAATTTTTATTAAATACTCTCAATAAGATGTCTGTATGTTTATAATTTAGTGCACCATTTTGTGCTAAAAATTATATAAAAAATTAACATCATTCAGGTTAATTATTTTTTTAATTATAAATTGTCGAAAAACCTTAAAAAATAACACAGTTTTATGTATCCGCCAAAGAAAATATAATTAAGAGTATTATTATATTTATTAAACATTATTAAGGCAAATATACTTGAGCATTTATATAAGAAACATTAAACCGAACTCGTTGTTATGTATGAAGAAAATGTTAATTGTATTTACATTGCGCTCTATATGATTTATATTGGATTCCTTTATCCACTATTGGATTAACCTATTTAATATATGCATAACGTATCTCGTCTGTTGAGGGTCAAGCTCTCTCATGTAAGTTGTATGAGCCGGCACACTGTACATGTTTTCAAGTTTTAATTAAACAGTCGTTATGAATCAACTCTACCTATATAGAGTTTTCATTGTAATTCTATAATATTTTTTTCTAACAAAAAATATATTGATATACTCTATACCTTTGATGAGATAAGAATAATTAAAGAAATTGTTACATAACTAACAACAACCACTAAGCTTATGATAATGATCTTTATAAGCATATATTTCCTTTAGGTAGCTTATTAATAATAGCGGAGCACGCAAACGGTTAGCCATAAAATTTGCATGATATTTCTAGAACTATAAATTTTATGTTATTTCATGATTTATTTTAAATAACCCTTGTTTGTTTCCTTTGGGCTTATAATATTTATATTTACATACATGTCGAAATAGAGAAAAATAACTGTTAAAATCTCTTACTATTTTTTATGAAGTACCTATAATAATTTTAACAATACTGTTCAAAGTGTTGGATCAAAGGTACTGAAGATTGAAAGATTCAGTGAGAGAGAAGGAGAGGTAAAATGGTGTCAAATTTTGTATGGAAGGATAACTTTTATTAATTACAACTAGCATTGCCCGCGGCTTCGTCCGCGTTCAGATGACCAAGAAGGAAATTCAAAGGTTTTACATATTAGTATACTCTTACAATGCAGTTTTTGTATTTTTTCTCAGAAATGAGATATTTTTCCGCGGTAAAAAGTACCCTATATGTTGACCCGGATAACCAGCTATCACCATGCCAAGTTTTATCAAAATCCTTCTAGTGGGTTTTCAGTGATGCGGTAACAGACAGACAGACAAAAATTCTAAAAACTATACATTTGGCTTCTGTATCGATAATAATGTCTATTACAATAGGATTTTTTCAAAAAATATTTAATGTACAGATTCGGCTCAGTTAGAATTTTATTATATGTATAGACTACACCTTTAATATAACTCACCTTTCATTTTACCTTGCGGCCCTCCTCTAGATATAATATCTCCGCCGTCTTCTCTCCTCCAAACAATTTTTGGAGGCGGATATCCGCGTGCCTTACATACAAGCTTAGCGGAACCACCTTCTGGTACCATCATATCTCCAGAAGTTTCTTCATATATAATATCTGGAGGAATTACCACTTCTAAAAACGCCGTCTGTAAATAAAAAAAAATATTATAATGGAAATATCCATACTTCCATACTTAATATTATAAATGTGAAACACTACGTCTTTTAGAATTTTTCGAAATTCATTTCATAAGGGAGTAAAATAGGGGATAAGTTCTAGCGTAGCGTAGTGAGGCCGCGGTTTCTGCTAGTTGAATAACGAATTTAAAAAATATATATTTTATGTATGTTATTTTTTTTAAATATGTCATATATTTTGTATTCAATCGTTTTTACTACATAAAAACTTTAAAAAGCCAGCCGATGCAAAGCAAATCTAATATATTTCGATACATAAAATATATACATATTTACCTATTAGATGTTCATATCTTAAAATATTGTCGGCTGGCACCGACTTCGAAAATATCTGATTAGTTATCGTTTCTAAATGAAAACCTCCGTTTAGTTATTTTTTACATTTTAGTGCCTGGAAGTCGGTTTTTTTAAGTTTTTATTTTTCCATTTTTAGTATAGACGTAATAAGCGTGTAATTTGTAAGAAGAAAGTTTTTTAATAACATATTCGACTAAACAATTTATTTAAAAAATATATTACTGTAGATTTTTTTCAAAACCGCTCGACCGATTTCGAAAAAAAATATGTGGGGACCACCTGGAAAGTATACCCTTTAAAACAAAAAAAAAATTCCAAATCGATTCAGGTGTCTTCGAGTGATCGGTGAACATAGGTACATAAAAAAAAGAAAAAAAAGATTCTGACGAATTGATAATCTCCTCCTTTTTGGAAGGCGGTTAAAAATAATTTGAAAAATACTGTTTGTTGGAGTGGAATAAACCAAATTTTATTTTTTTAAATAATTACACAAATAGGGATGTAACTTTATTATATTGTTTATATCGCACCTGCATTTTCATGGGGTCAGTATTAACTTGGCACATATACTGCCCCCTGTCCTCCCGCTTCACCCCGCGGATATTTAACGTCCACGTGTTGTAGTCGTTGTGTGTAACACTCAGCCTTGCATTGTTGGTTATCACGTGCTCGTGTATCGCCAAAATCGCCTTCGTATCTGCCTTGATCCATGCTACCTGTCTCGAAAAATGCAATCGACTTTCTTCAGATGTGTCCACAACTTGTGAACATAATATTTCGAATACTGCAAATAGAAGTTGTACAAAAAATTTCCTATTATCTTTGATGGTACAATGTTAGCGGTTGCAAAAATGTAAACGATGAAGACTTTTAGAGGGAACAAGTCTAATTACACGCGAATACTTCCCAAGAGGCAGTCATGACAACGATCCTCGAGCGCCGGCAACACTATCTTGTTGCGAGCGCCTCGCAAAATGCTCTCGGAATTTTTAATTACATTTTCGTCTGGTCGCCGCTATGAGGCGTACTGCGAGCGTACTGTAAAAACGCCCTCGTTTTGCCCGCTTTACCAAAAGCGTCGACATCGCAATAGAAGCTAATTTCCTGCATAGCGCGTTACAAAAAAGGAATAAATATCTATGAAAATATGGAGCTTTAGTAAAATTTTGTTGGACGCTCAGATTTTTTTGTAAGACACTATTCGTAGTTTATATATAATACGAAATAATTGCCTCTTATATAATTTACTACGTAATATTAAATGAATATATTTAATATTTTTGTTAGTTTTAAATATTTTATAATATTATATTTCTATGATAAATATAGGGTGCAAGAAGGAGTGCACTACAAGAGTAGGTGCTATCAGGAAAGTGTTCTACACAATCTTGAACCATAAAGTGCGTGTGGATCAAACACTAATTTGTGCACTTCACTAAGGTGAACATTATCTCTACGACAGTGATTAAATAAACTAAAATTATAAAAAAAATATAACTTCCCAACCCTTTGCTTTTGCTACGTAGGCTCTACAGTTGTAGCAGCACTTTGAAACAAAGGCTTGGTTGGACTAAACATTTTGATGCAATTTTTTATATTTCTCTAAATAACTTTTGTTAGTTATAATGATAAATATATAATAAAAAAAATATTTTTAGAATCACTTTGTTCCTAAATAAAATAAATATAAAGTTTAACAATGTTATATTGTTTGGAATAAAAACTTAATGTTAATAAATAATTGCATCAAAACACGCGATACTTAAAATTATAAGCTTTTTAATATTTACCAGGTTCCAAACTCATCCATACCAGCGGTGCATATCGTAGTATTTGGTATTAAATTATGAAAAGTGTGTTTTGTTTGAAAAAGTGAAAAATATTTTATACACTTATAACACTTGGTAATATTCTAAAGTGACTTCAATCCCAATACCCGTTCACTTAATAAGCTTATTGTCATTGCAATTTAGTTTGCATTTCTTAAAATTCATTAAAACCTTTATCGATAAGAGAAAATACTCGTAGGACTATCGTTGGTTTTCAAGACATAGTTACATATTCGATTACTGCACCTAAAAAATATTTTTATATTTGGGATAGAGACGTTATTTTCCAAGTGTACTTTTGAAAGATTACAGAAAAGTGGAGAACATAATAATAAGATCCTTTTAAATAGATCTTAGAACAAATATGCAGAGTCACGACTACGTATAAGGTACGTATATATATTAAATATTACTCTTGTTCAATCTTCAGTTATATAACATTGCCAATTATTGGATAGAAATACTAATGTTTAAATAGAGCTTTTCTCAAGGGAATGCATCATATTATCGTATGTGTATAATTGCAGAATATTCTCTATATAGAAAATGATCGTATCGGTTTGGGGACTTCTTCGGTAACGGAAATTCACTGACCTGTTTCTTAGCGGAATATTCGATCTCAGTGAGCCACAAGGGAGTAGATATAAATGATTGTATCAGAAAGAGAGAAATAGTGGTGTATCGCAATTTCATATCTAGATAGATGGATTAATGATAATTTGAAATACAATATTATAATAAAGAAACTTACACGTACATAATATATTTTAATTATTATATACGTATTGTAACTTGTTAGTTCACTTGGGTTTGAATTTGAATAGTATAAATTGTGTTTTAATATTGTCTTTAACAAATACTAGACGGCTTAAGATGGAGTTTTTTTTAAATTACTTATCTAGGAAGAATCGAACTCGAAACCTTCGTCGTAGTAGTATATAGACACGTGCTACGACGGTTATATTGTTAGTATGAAATTATAATCTTTTTAAATAATTTTATGGATTTATATTATTTTTTGAAGTGTCACTATTCATTTACGATATAATATCAGGCTACTCGACGGTACAATACCAAACCTAGATTAACAGTGGGGATATTTAAGAGCACAGCCTCTCGAAATGATTGAACGGGGACTAAGGGGGTTTGTCCTGGCTTTATTTTAATTTCGTAAAGTGACTGTTTTGCAAGATTCTCCTTGCCTAAATGGGATAGCCTCGTAGTGGATTAGCGGTTTCGATTTGCAAATTAATTGATACTAGAATGCATGCTGGAGTTCCGTCCTTTTGATCACTTTCGCAATACAATATATTATTTATTGGGAGTGACCAATCACTATGTATAAACAATATAATTACATTTAGTTGCTTAGTTTCAATACATTAATTTGATCATATGTAGTGGAAATTATATATTAGTTTTTCTAATTTTTAATATAAGTTAATAATTAAAATCAAAAACTGTATACTTCATAAAGAAAAATAATTAATTGGTGTTGTAAGGGGAAGGAACGTCTAGTGCATTTATATTACATGCTCATTTTATCGACATAGCAGCTGGAATTGTGCGTAATTATCATAAAACTCAAGAATACGTTTCTGTTTGCTAGAATTGTTAAAATTGTGTTTGAAATATTCTTGAGTCTTTACTCTAAGGTGTAGGTGTTGATGCAAGTTGTGCTTTGTATAACTAACTATGCTACAGTGAACAAACTTATAAGACTGTGCAAGTTAGTGTTATATACTCTATTCTAAGATAGAGATCTCTATAAGGTGAGTGATAGAGGTGCATCGAAGATTGTGTGCTAGGAAGTGTGGAAGTAAGTGCAGATTCTTGAGATCTATAATTAAAATAGTAATTAAATTTTATTAATCGCTATTATATTGCTATCGTTTTAATTTATTAAAATATTGAAAATATCTTTTATTTATATGGTTATTTTATATCTTATATAAGTTAATTATTATTTAGCTTGATATTCATATATTTTTTAGATATAAAAGATAAGAGTAAGTTTGACTTATTAATTTAAACGATTAAATTATTTTTACAATTACTGGTATATATACAAAACTATCCTGAAAATTGTATTTTCGAATTCGTGAAAGATATTAATTGTTCATTGAACATTAATTGTTGTTTGTTTTTGACGTTCGAAGCATGCAATTATAGATCTCAAACCAAGTGCTCATTGAAAGTGCTCGTCTATTGGATAGCTGTATTGAGTAGGTTTGATACACACCCTGGCGGTGGCGGAGTCGCCACTCACCCTGTAACCACCCAGGTTATTAACCACGCAGGTGAAGGTCGCGTCCCTACCCTGCGCGATTGTCACGTTCTGCAGTGGGTATCGGAAGTCCGGTTCCAGACCTAGAGCTGTGAACAAGTGTATTTTTTTATTAATAAGTGCAATATTTTCTTAGTTTTACATGAATTTTGAAATTCCTATTGGATTTATATCCAATAGATATTTTAAACTATGTTTTCAGATTTTCGATAACATAAATACGCGGAAATATTCGAAAACATAATTTCATCATAACATGAATTAAAAAAAAAGTATCAAGTTTTATCGTACTAGTGATAGCCGTATAGATGCTTCGAATTGGTATTTTAAACGTTGTGTTAATTTTCATAATATCTATAAAAAGAACTAGCATTGCCCGCGGCTCCGCCCACGTTCAGATGACCAAAAACCAAATTCTTAGGTTTTACATATTAGTATAATCATTAATCTTACATGGCAGTTTTTGTATTTTTTCTCATAAATGAGATATTTTACCGCGGTAAGAAGTATCCTAAATGTTGACCTGGATAAACTATCATCATACCAAATTTTATCAAAATCTGTAGTGGTTTTCTCGTTATGCGGTAACAGACAGAAAGATAGACAAAAAAATTAAAAACTATAGATTCGGACTCTGTATCGATAATAATGTATATTTCAATAAGATTTTCCAAAAAATATTTAATGTACAGATTCGACTTCGTTACAATTTTATTATATACTATAGGTAAAGATTTTCGTTGAATAAAAGTCCTAAAATTTTCATAACAGTAAAATTTGAGTTAACAGTTTTTCATTTTACATAAAATTTTTGTCGTTCATCTTTAATATAATCGCAAAAAAAAGAAAAAACGATGTTTTAAATCGCTGTAATCAGTACGTGTCTGTATTTAAATAGGTGTATCTTCACATTAAGGTTAATCGAAATGAGCGTAATCGGTGTCGTATCGTACAGTCGATCTGATAATTTATTGTTGTTGTTTTACGTTTTAAAAACCTAATTATTATAGCTATTATAAAATCGATTGGATATAAAATATTGTAGTTTCATAAATTTATTTCATGTATGTGTTCATATAGTACTATCTTTTGACAAAATTAATTTAACAATTAATTAAATAAAATTAATAAATAAAACCTCTATTGTTCTAAAATAAAATATATATTTATTTTTGCAACGAAATATTTTTGTATGTGTGAAAGGATTGAAGCTAGCATATAATACTCGTCATAAATTCTTGATATATACATTTGTAAATGATTAACGAGCTTGTCATACTATTCGTCGTGTTTATATATGTTTATATAAGGATTAATACACATAGAGCTTAGCTTAAAAATATTAAAAACAAAATAGAAAACGGATAAAAGTTCAGAGTAAATAAAGAATGCTGCACAGAATATTTAAAACGCTGTTACAATATAAAAATTAATACTTATAAAGAGAAAATTATTTTAATATATTATATAGGCTTTGATACTTGTAAATGTTTGTTTATTATAAATATTTTTTTTGAACATAAAAATTATACTAAATGTAAGGTAACTGTACAATGAACGAATATTAAAAAAAATGCAATAGATGTAATTCTAAATTCTTTTCTGGAGTACAATACAAGCATTACGTAAAGAGGTTCATTTTAAAGCTTAAAAATAATATATCTTGGCTGAGATAGTGTATTTTCCCCGGCGAATGGATGGCTAGAGGCGTCAATATTCTACGTGACCAGTGCCTTGTGTCGTGTCCGAGGAAACATGTGTCGGAAGTGAGGACTATCTATTTGGTCATAGAATAGCGATGGCTGAATTATTTGTAGACACATCTAGTGGAAGATTGGATCTACGTTCACTGACTCTGTATACCATGCTGACTTGCCATTCTCTTTGTAAGAAGTAATGACAAAATGTTATTATAAATGCTTATGTAAGCCTGTGAAGAAAAAACGAACGTGTGTTTATATATATATATATATATATATATATATATATATATATATATATATACAACACACTGATTACTTGATTTTTAGAAACATTGTAACAATAAAGGTTTTTTTTCATATGAATTATAAAATATTATTCGTTTCGCTTCAAAATAGTAATATTTAAGTTAGTGAATAGAAATTATCGCTAATTAGAGTAGCTTTTTATTTCGCGCTTATTTGTCCTTATTTTCTGTTTCAGTTGTAGTTGCTTTTTACATATGAATAAAATTTTTGCAATTTGATTATTCCAGTATATATCCACTGTATATCTATGTATAAGGAAGTTATTCTTTAATGCAAATATTGCTATGAGTTTTAGATAATATAAATAAGTTTGATACAATATATAAGATAAACTTAGATAATTGACTAACCCATCATCTTCAGTACTGCTACTAGATTTGAGTGCTGTTTTTATACTGTAGATTGAAATCTTGAAACATATATCATAATTATATATTAAGAATTCTCTTTTTATTATGTTCACGTAAGAAGAGAATTCTTAATATTTATATACTTATCTATGTAGCCGAATAACCTGCCAGCCGACAGGACCAAGGATAAATTGTGTATTAATATATTATATATTAATATGTACGTATAATTTATTCATTACATAGTTTCAACAAACATTTTGCTATAATATGGTTATAAGAAAATCATTTTAACAATTATTCCACCCATAGGAGTGGAAATAATATACGATAACCCTTAGTATAATATATTCATTAAAAAAATATGGGTGCGTGTAAACTTTATTTAAATAAATCAATAATTAAATAAGCCTATAAGGCATATTAGGCATATTAAAATCATATATGTATGTATTTAATATTTATAGAATATCATATACGGAAAGAATATAATATTATATATTTGTCAGACAATAACCACGGTTACCATGGCAACATGGCAATGTATTCTATCTCATTCTCTCGCCGGCTTAATCCTGTATATTTATGTATTTGTCTCTTTTTAGTGTCGCATTTTTGTTTCATCGAGTTTCAAATCACAATAATTCTAAAGAAGTTTCACTTTAAATCAAAAATTACAGAAGGATGGAATATCTCTTGCTTTGTAAAATCGGTCCTAAAAAATAACAGATACGCTTAGTATTATTATCTAAATTACCAATTGTAGTTTTAACATGGTAATACATTTTTTTATATGGTTTACTTTTTTCCGTATATAAAAAGTAGTCAATGCCTGGTCTATTTTCCTTTATTGTCTATGAATATATTTTTTAAATCGGCTATTCAAGGATTGTGACAGGCTACTGACCAAATGATTTTTTAAACGTTGTTCGATATATAAATATTTTTTTTAATATCTTACTTTGAATAAACGAACGTGTATTTATATATATGAATACTGCTGTAAGCTAAAATTAATTATATATTTTAATAAGCATTATTAAAAAAGCAGAAAGTCATTTAATCTACAGACTGAATAGAGAAACTAAAATATGTCTAAAAGTCAGATCGTTATTGCGAATGTTACTTTACATACCCTGTTCTCTGCATACATTTCTAGTGGACGAAATGATTCCGGAATTCAGGGTGAATAGCAAGTGTCTGTGCCTGGACGACTCTCTTTGTAAAAGGAGGAGTACTGAGATTGATCGAGACTAAAATGTTATTCAATACAAGTCTGATATTTGTTTGGTTAAAATAAATAACCAAACAAAACAATCTATATATAAAAAGGCAAAAACAAAACAATTCAGTCCTTTCTGTCTGTCTCCTCTGTTTGTCAACCGATTTTTTTTTGTTTTTTTTTGTTTAGTAGCTATTGAAGAGCTTTAGTGTAATCAATAACAAAAAAATTGAAAACTTTTTTTTTATACCTTCATAGATAGGTACAGAAAAAAAAAACAGATCAGTAAACTTTTGTCAAACTTCGACTACTATTATACTACTTGTATATATAAACCGTATTATGGAATATGTAGGTAATTTTTTTCAGTTATTATTTTTATAATGATTCGGAGCGATTCAATTTAACGCTCTCTATGTTGTGTTATTTTTACGATGTATCTACGAGTATACTAATAATATAAAGAGGTGAGTTTGTGACGTTGTAGGGGGTAATCTCTGGATGTACTGAACCGATTGAGATGAAATTTGGTAAAAAGATAATTTGAGAACTTGGGAGGGATATAGGATACTTGTTATACCGGAAATCATCCCTTAAGAGGGTGAAAATGGGGATGAAAGTTTGTATCGGGAAGCAAACTAGGGACGAACCCGACCAAAACGAGGGTGAGTGGCTAGTGTTAAATAAAAGTACTTTGGATGCCAAATGTTAGAGTAGGTATGCATAAAAATATCACAATAAAATATCAAAATACAAAAGAATAGTATCTCAATTGTTCTCATAGTCATGTAATTCGATATTTTATAATATATACCTACAATGAGTTTATAATTATATATTACATATTTATATCGTTAGTATCGTCGCGATTTTCCTTTTATCAGGGCAGTACACTTATCAAAAACAATAGAAAATTATAAAAACTTACACAAGAAGCTTTTGAACTTTAAACTTTTAGATTATCGAAAACTGAAAATGTTAATACATATTTGCCGCTAACTTAAATAAAAGCCACTCTCCTCATAAACGTTCTAAAAATATTGCATATAATTAAGGTAATGTAAGTATCAAATATAATTAAATGCAGACCTGAAGATCCGATACGGGAATAAAACGACTGTTTCATTTACATTTTGGTTCAGTGATTCCGTTCAGATTCTCGACGGGGCGGGCGTAGTGAATTATGCCCTATTGTTGTTCCTAGTAAAGGATGGCCTACTGTACATCATTAAAGATTCGACTAGGAAAATGTTTTAGCTAGCAAAATATTGTGCAGCTTTAATAAAATGCATTCTTAAAGCTTATTTGCCTCTAAGTTTTATTAAGTTTTCTCTATATTGTAAATTATAGCATGTTTTTTTGAAGTCATACTTCTTTTGGGACGTTTAGAAAAAAATATGAGTGTATAATTTTTACGACGCGCGTATACCGACAGCCTAAAAGCGACATGATGAAGTTAGCTGCATTTCTTTCACAAGCAGAGAGTTGCGACATACGGGAGGAAATCT